GGAGTAAAACTAGAAAGCAACACTTCTAAGAATAAGATGAGAAAGATGCTAGACCTGGAGACTGTTCGAGATTACTCCGTTCATGCCATAGTCAATGATTAGAGCTCCTCCACCATCAGAACTTATCCTGTCAACAATGGTTTGGGTCAACTCCATGGCTTGGGGACAAATCTCAATTTGATTGAGCTCGGCAAATTCCTCGGGTGCAGCCCATTTCAACCGCTTTAATAGATAGAGAGTAGCAGGTGTTGGCTGTGGAGAAAGAACAAAACGAAACCTATCCGATATATGTAAGAAGTATCAATACACTAAACCCATAAAAAATACAATTTAAAAGAGTAGATTATATTACAATACTTACGATGAATCTTCTGCCACATCAACCATTTTCTCACACCAGCCTCGAGATGCTTTCTGCAGAGTCCAGACAAAGAAATCATGCTTCAAAGAATGTAACACCAAGAGCAATATACAAATGGAAGGAATTGGCAGAGAACTTGGATTTCATTGTTTTACAAAACTTATACAAGGTATAGTATGAAAACTTCTATTATAATGGACATTAAGGAACTAAAACTATGAATTTTGCCAAGCTAAAAAATCCCTTTTGAAGCAGGAAATTAGTGGAAATTTGGAATTGTTTAAACAAAAGGAGTGCAACAGTTGAGGTTCAAACTTATCTGTCACAAAACATAGCTGTGGATGAAAAAGTATAAAGTAACAGCTGTGGAAGAAGCATTTGAAAGCAAAAATTTGGAGAATTTCGAATCTAAAATCTTAATTTTGCAGCTTGATAGATGTTCTTAGTTTTAATTCAGCTTAATAGCACAAGCATTATATTACCTGAAACTGGTGGACTGGAAGGGCATCAAAGAACTCATGCGCAATTATAATTGTTGGCACTGGAGCACAACAAGAGCAATTGGTCAGGGCATTTTTATACACAGTTCAATAAGATGTTTTAATGTAACACAGAACAGAATTGAAATTTCATGTAAGAAGTTGCACACCATATTCTATGCCCAAAAGTCTATTTTCATTGGAAAAGCATTACATACATCCTGATGGAATCTGCTCCAGCATTGCATGCCACGATACAGGAGTACCAAACAAAGACCTGGCAGTTCTTACATCAGTATCTTGAGAACCATTCTCTTCCTCAACGCATTTCAAGTTCTGGTGCTGAAGCTTCTGCAGTGCTGGACTACATTCCACCAAGTGCACATGCAATGACTCAATGAAGTTCTTAAACTTTGAAGCACCCTATAAGAAATTAAAAACTTCCATATGTAGTTGAGAATGTTAACAAAAGGTTTAGAAATTCAAGCATAAAAGCACATCATCATCATACGCGAAGGAGATCGGCCATGAGAGTTCCTCGTCCGGGGCCAAGCTCAACTAGATTTATTCTCTGAGGTTGGCCCATTTGCTGCCAAAGACACATCACCCAGACACCAACCATCTATGTTTGAAAAATCAAGGTATTAGAATTAAAATCATTGTCATGACACCTGAAGAAGCCTTAGCTATAGTTCATGCTTGGATAAATTTCTATGCATACACTTGAATAGGAGAATAAGACAAGAAAAACAAAAATAAAATGAGTTTCTCCGTAAAATTTAACTTACCAATGAACTAATTTGTAAAAAAATTCCCATGGTAGTTTTTCTAAAAGATTTTAGAAAAAATTATTTCATTTTTCACTTCGTTTTCTTTTATACAAACATTCTAGTTCAATAGATGAAGATAATTCACCTCACCTCACCAAACATCTGGCTAACTTCGGGAGAGGTGATAAAGTCACCCTCTGCTCCAAAAACATCCCGATTGATGTAGTACCCAGCTTTAGGATTTGTCAAAACTTCGGACATGTACTCACCAAGGGAAATAGGCCCTCCACGAAACTGATAATCACGACTAACATAAATTAAAATCGACGAAACCCAAATGTTAAAGACTCAATTTTTATGATGCAAAAATTGAATGGAATAAGATAAAACCTTGATGATGCCTTTGAGGTGCTTGACGAGCTCGGAATCAGAAGTTGGGTGGTGAGCATGCTCTGGCAGAAGAGAGAAAGAGAGTTTGAGCGAGTACAATAAACAAAGAAAAGAGGGAAATTTGAAGAGAGTACCAGGTGGATTGTAAAGGGTAGAACGGTCAATGGATATTGTGGTTGCAGTGGTCTCTGAAGAAGAAGAAGAACAGAACCTTCGATAGTGTCGTGGCACCGTGGGGCGATGAAGTGAGTAACATTGCCGCAACGCTCTTCTCAGCATTTCTTCTTTACTTTTTTTTTCCTTACAGGAATCGAAGCTGAGAGTGTGAGGTTTTACATAGTTAAGGTTTTTTTCTAGTTTATGCTCATACCAATTTTCTCTCTCATTTTTGTTATTTAGGTATTTTAATACGATTTTTGGGTATTTTCTAACCAAAGAAATACAACAAGAATAATAGTCGATTGATCAAGATTAAAAATAAAATACATGTTTTTTTTTTCTCACAGCAATGTTTAACCAAGAATAATACTTGTTTACGTGTTCTTCTAATACTTGTTTATTGTTTACGTGTTTCACATTTTATTATTATTATTTTTGTGAGAAAACTAAAACCACGTATAAAATGAAACGAAGAGAGAAATAACTAATACAAATTTTCTTTCAAGACCAACAATGTCCTCAGTTTCAGGCTATGTGTGAATATAAAATTGTCAACTAAGAACTAAATATTTTTTATTTCATGCCATAGTGAAAAACAAAAAAAGTTTACTCTGAAAAAGAATAAAATAAAAAGTATGAAATCTTCTTCACTTAATTTGAAAATTTATTACAAATAAAGAAAATCTTTTTACCGCACTCTCTTAAGTTTACTCACTATGTTTTCAATCCCTTTTCTCTTAAGTTAGTAATTAGATAAGTTCGACTCACCTAAGTATTAAAACCATTCAATTATATTCTTAAATAATGTTATATAGTCTTTAAAATTCAAAATGTCAATTTTTATAATTAAAAATTTGTAAATTATTATAATAAAAATAGATTAAATATATTTTTATTCTTTAAATTATATAAAATTTAAATACATTATGTTTGAAATTTGATGTTTTAGTTTTAAAAATTTAAAAATAATAAATATAATCATTTTTTACCTCAATTAGAATTTTTCTTTTCACATGTCAATAGCCGTTTTTCAACTGAAAGAAGTAAAAACGCATTAATTGGATTATTTAATATAGGTTTAATTGCTTCCTTTGTCCCCAGTTTGGTTGAATTGTGTCAAATTCATCCTCATTTTTAAAAAAGTTTCATTGTCGTCCTCACGTGGTATAAAAGTGTCAATTGAATCCAAACATAGAAAAAATTTGTGTCAAAGTAGTCATTTTTCCTATATATCTATGTCTTCCTTTCATATGTCACTTCTCTGGAGCTATGAAAAGCCTTAAATTGGATAAGGTAAAATGAATATCTGTACTTGATTGTATGAAAGGAAGACACAGAGATATAGGAAAAATGACTACTTTGACACAAATTTTTTCTATGTTTGGATTCAATTGACACTTTTACACCACGTGAGGACGACAATGAAACTTTTACACCACGTGAGGACGACAATGAAACTTTTTTAAAAATGAGGATGAATTTGACACAATTCAACCAAACTGGGGACAAAGGAAGCAATTAAACCTTTAATATACTATCCTATGTCCGATTATTTTGTCTAGCCCAGAATCAAAGAAATCAACAAGTTCATAATTTATATTTAGCAGTAACAAGTTCATAATTTATATTTAATATACTATCCTATTTATTTATATTTCAAGCATAACAAGAATCAATCAATCAGCTCATAATATATTTAGCAGTAAAGAAAATAAATTCCAGGAATTGGAAACAATCTAAACAAGAAAAACAATTGTGATTCTATTAGCCATAACTCAATGATGCCCATCTCAAAAATATCGAACCAATTAAGTTCCAAATCAGTTGGATGCAGACAAAGGAGTGGCACCGCCATACGAAAAATGGAAATCTCGTAGAACGGCAGAGTTTGGTTAAAATATATCGATCTGCCTCTATCTGCCATCCTATTTCATTATAAGTACAAATAGACCCTTACAACTATCAATTGAAAAGATAAAATTGTGATTAACATGTTTAACTGCCCTTGCCTCTTTTTCTGTCTTATTAGAGATGCAAAAGACAGGGAGAGGGAAAGTGGGAAAGAGATAGGAACATAACATTGTTTGGCCTCGTCTACCAGTAAAAGAATGCAAGGGTCTAGTAGTGTTAGAGCAAGCCTGATGGAGTTGACTCGTGTACATGATTTATATCTCTCTATATCATATACACTGATGAACATTATCTATTTTCTGATCTTCAATCTAATTTGATGCAATTCAACAAATTACGTACTTCCAACACAACTCCAATTCACAAATTTACTGAATCACAAAATTTGGTAATTTGTATTTCTAATTTAAAGAATTTCACTCACAATTTTGTAAAAGTATAATCAACAGTGAAAACCGTACTGTTAGCCCCTCTCCCAAAAAATAAGGAGAAAGAATTTAGGCAACGAACTGCACTTTATGAATTTTCAGCAAGAAATTGTGCTTAAATAAGTAATAATCCTGAGATCATTAATTCATACACATATTTTAGACCCCATAAATGGAATCATGATATACGTCTGTGCCAAGTTGTGTAAGCATTGATCCAGCATCAATAACTAACAATCCTGTATTAAACAGCTAATATTTCAGAAATAACAGCAAAATTCCCTCTTCTTGAAATTGTCTGAACTTGGAAAGCGTGTGTATGTTCATTGAACTCCGAAGCAGCAGATATTTACATTCCTCTGGCCTATAAAATGACCAAATACACTACAGAACTGTACATACACACAATTGATTCACAAACATCAATCATCTGTTCTAATAAAATTGTTTCACAGGAATATGTTTCAAAGAGAAAAATGAAATGACTATAAAAACTTATGATGCATGGAAATTTATAGTCAGATGACAATATGAAAACTCTTTAAACAGCACCAGAATCATCCGTTCTAGTGACCGGCGTAAAATCCCAATACTGCTAGCATTGTTTGCACAGAGGATTGGTTTAAAAAAGAAACTGAAACACTATACTGCCAGCTTAAACCACATCTAATTTCAAATTAGCATCACCGTTATGTTGGTCCAAGCCGATGTTTACACGATGATGTTCAAGGTTAGGAATGACAATTCTAACTAGACCTTGTGGGTATTCGCCAAATTCAAAGAAGCCCCCGACGAGGAATTATTGACGGTCATAAGACATATGAACTGAAGTGTACAATTCTTCTCAAACAATTCACATCAAACAATTTATTTTCCAAACAAAGCATATAAAGTGTCTTCATATTTAACTATTGCATGGTAATAATTTGACACGCGCAAGGCCGAAAGCAATCGAAGCACAAAAAAGTATATATCAATGGTAATATACCCATTGTTCTAAAATACAAGGGTGAACAAATCTATGATTCATAAGAATGTACACTCCTAAACAATAAAATTATACATAAAAGATTGATCAAACAATCCCTCAAACCAAAATTTCAAGAAAATCGTATTATTAAGACTGTATAAGAACGATGGTTCAGCCTCTGGTTAACAATTTCGAGTTGTTGAAGGCTGTAACTATAAGGGTGACCAATTCATGCTATCGACTACAAGCACAGACTCAAAGGGAAGCAACAAAATAGCAATCTATAGTTCTGTACTCACAATGGCAGATCTCAACGTCTGAACCACCAACAAAGAAAGTCATAAAACCTTCAAGTGTCAGCTACCATAATGGTGATTCCGAGCAGCCATATTGGCAACCTGAGTTTGCAACTGGGCCGCTCTAACTTTCGCTGTGGTGGCGCGGTGAAAGAACTGTTCCCTGGATAACGCCCTCACACTCCTCAAATACTGATCAAACGGCACAGCTCCCACCTGAAGAGACTTATCCAACGCATAAAGCGTGTCCTCGATAGCCAAATCAGCAGCAGTGCAGTCAAGCATCTGCTTGGACAGTACATCCACACACTCAAAAGCATCCTCAGGATTGTCCAAACCACCCAGCTTCTTCCCCTGGTTATCCCTCAACCACCCCTCCAAAACATCAGTGTTCATCAACACAATCTGCAACTGCTGCTCCAGCGCCTCCATCTCCTCCTGCATCTCCTTCAACCCCTTGTTGAGAGTCTCCTCCCGCTGCTTTAACACGCCCTGCAAATTAAACAGCCCCTCCATCTCACCCTCCCTGGTCTTCCTCAACGCGGAAACATCCCCATGAACCATCTCCACAAGCTTGTTAATCGCGTTCCGCTTGAAAACCTCAGAAGGATCCTCAGTGGACTGAACCCTAGAAGCGGGAGCAGGGTAAGGGGAAGGAGGGTAAGGCCTAGCGGGGGGTTGAGCGTGGGGGTAGCCAGATGAAGAAGAGTTAGAAGATAAATTGGAGGAAGAGTTTCCGAAACTGGGATGGGGGTGAGGGTGAGGATTTGGATTAGGATTGGGGTTGGGATTAGGGTTCGGGTTAGGGTTAGGTCTGCGTTGGGAATAGAGGGGAGGGTCGCGACCGAAGTGGTGGCTGAGATTGAGAACGAGATCGACAAGGTTGGAACTAGGGTAGGTCCAATTCTGCAAGTAAGGAACGGAAACCAAACCAGAAGGGTTAACATGAGGGTGGGGGCGTTTGATTACCATGTCGCGTGTGGGATTCACTTAGACGCAGGGCGGGTGACGAGGGTAGGACTCCATGAGCCAGATGACGACGGGGATGTTGTAGGTGACACCTTGAAACGACATGGGGATGGTGCCGTCGGCCTGAAGGAGGTTGACGGAACGACCGTCGTTATGCGTGAAGGCGGCCGTTTTGGGCTCGAGCGAAGGGAAGGTAGATGTTAGCGCGACGAGGTGCTGGCGGATGAGCCACTTGGTGTCCTCGGAGTATGGGACGGCGGAGGGGCCGCGCTGAGAGAGAACGGAGTTGAGGAACTGCGTCATCGCCGGTTGGACCATGCCGATTCCGATTGGAGTTGGGAAGATGAAGCAGCTGAGGCTTATTATGTCAATCAGCTATCACTCTCAGATTGCTTTCTTCCTTCGTAAGGCTATTCCTTCATAACTTTCACGCATTTCAATTTTCTCTCCCATCTCCAAACGCGTCACTGTTTATACTTTTTCTTCTTTTCTTGTTCCGCTTCAGCTTCTACGAAAACGCCCTTTCCTATTTATTTTTTTAACTTCTTTTTATCAATAAAAATCACTTTTATGTAATTAATTAATTCCTTATCATCAAATTCAATCAATTTTTACTGCACATCACGTTTTATTGTTTGATGCACGTAAAAGTCAAACATATTTGTATATTAAACTTAATTATCCACTTAGTCTGGCAAAAAATTATACAACAAATGAACAATTTATCTATATACAATTTTTTAAATAACAAAAATACTGTTTATTCTTAATGTGCATAAATTTTGGAGCAAAATTTAAATTCTCATTTTCCAAATATTTATATATTAAGGCAGAAGTTACAGATTGGATAAACTCAAAATAATGGCATGGAAAACGTATTATATTGCTATGTATTGACTTTTTTAACGTTTTTTATATTTTTCCTAAATATCAGTTTTACTTTTAATCTAAAACTTTTTTAATAGTGTTTCTAATTTTTCAAATTTGAAATAAAGAAAATTAAAGTTAACTAATGGTTTTAATTTTCAATAAAATGTGAAACTTTTATTCTTAACTTTGAACCAGGAAAAAGTGACTCCCAAACAACGTATCTCAGCTAGGTAAGCAACATTGAGATCTAGCTCTGTTAAGAAAGCATACTCTAGCAAATTAATACATTAAACATTTAATTCAAATACAGTAGTGAAACATCGATCTGGTCCAGGACAATCAGACCATAAAAATACCTCGGAAAAAAAAAATCTTATATTGTATTTCCTATATGTCTGTTAAGACAATAATACCCTACCCTGATATTACATAAATTGCTGTGGAACTCGAATTAGTAAATCGTTTCCCAGGCTAACTGAAGGTGTTAAATCACAAAATCTTCCACTTTCTCTCAAGGGCACCAGTAATCCTTGTAATACAATAAGCAGCACTTAGAGGGTACCCAGAAACTGCAATCAGGAAGCACTATGATGTAAGAAATAAGAATATCCTGACTGATACATGTTAAATAATCATGCGAGGTAGCATTCTGCATTTTTATTATACACTACAAGTTTTGACCACAAATTGTAACAATAAATGAAAATAATCAGTAGGGTGTCTCGGCCAGGAGGCTTAAACTCGGCTTATCAACAACTTCTACCATTCAAATTCAGTTCAATTTAAGCATGAGATCTGTTAATGCAAAAGACAGTTAGTTGGCTTCAAAGGAAACACCCTATTTTAAACAGACTAGTCATTTATAGCATATTTGGATATTTGTTTCCAACAATGCAAACTGAATTTCACCCGTTCCAAAGTATGAAACCGTGAATACAGGTAACCAAACACACTTAGTATTCTGCATAAAATGCAACAAAAGAACCAAAGTGGGAGACTGCACTAACAGGCTGAGCAGATCCATATATTTCTGTTTTCCGGTATTATCAAAGCTAAGCTAGTATGGTCCAACAGTTAGATTTTGTTCACAAACCTGCATTTAGTAGTTAAAGTGCTTTGCTTAAAATAGTTCACTTTTTACTCATTATGGAGATCATGTGGCTTGACCAATTTATACTTTAACAAAATTTCATGAAGCTCTTCATTCCTTGTTTAGAAATTTGAACTGACAAATATCAACAAAATTAAAAATAAAAATATATCATGTCCCAAAAACAAATACAAAATTTGCACACAAAGGGACCCGACCATCGGCAAACACTTGTCAAACAAAGACACAATAAAAGAAAACCAATGAAGCCAGACCCAAGTGCCACCACAGGAATATGTAAATAATTACTGTGACGATAGTAGATAAAAAAAATTGTATGGACAATCTTACTTGCTATGTAATCTTCTGTATAATCTGTCTCAATCTTCCCATGGGCCATTGCTCCTACCTGAAATTAGAATATATTAACTGCTAAGCATCGACAGAAAAAATAAACAAAAGAAATTGAAAGTTGAGCTGGTGAAAGTACCACAAAAACAAGGTCCATATCGCTGGAAATCTTTGATACATAGTCATCCATATCTACAAGCTTGTCTGAACTATATGATAGACCTGAAATTCAACAGAGACATCACTTTTACTATTTTGAATTATATTGATAAAAGAATTTATCAAAACAGAAAAGTTAAAACACAGATTTTAACATTAAAGAGTTGGAATTTTCCAGCAGTTCAAAAAAACAAACAGGTAAACACAAGCAACGATCAAGAACAAAACACACCTATTTTTTGTGAGTTGACAGGCAAATACTGTGTGACAGGATTTTTTATTGTTCGGAGGAGTTTTTCGCGCTTGCCAACAGCAGATATGCTCAGCTTTTGAAGCAGTTCCACTGCAGGGTAGTAAAAGTTTAGAAGCAACATGATGAAAGCTCGTTACTTTTTCCTCCCAAAAAGTGAGGCCTAGGAAATAAAATAGCAAAGACTTACACATAACACCAGCAAAACGTTTGAAGGTTCTAGGAATTCGAACAAAGGGCTTAACCTCAATAAGAACACCTTTCTCCGTTCTTATATAAACATTTCGCAATCTTCCAGCTTTATTCAGTGGACTATCTAAAATAGATAGAAGAGACTGAAAACAAAACACCATTTGATATAAATTAAAACTCATACTAAAGACTGATGAAGATGACGATGCATGTGGAAGAAACTTTACTTGATGAGTAATGTCCGGCCTATAATCTCCAGGATTTTTGTTGTGTTTGCGAAGGAAATTGGCATGGTCATCGGAATTCAACAACTGATATGTCTGCAGTGCCAAAAAAACAAAGGAAAGACAAAGAATTGAATGAAAGTTGAAAGTAAAAGGAAAAGGAGAGTGTGAAATAGAAGAGTAAGAAGTAGAACCTTGCCGACTTTGGCGACTTCAAGAGAAGCTCTTTCGAGAATGAAGATGACATTGGATTTGGTACTTTCTTTCTCGCTGGGTGCAATTGGGATACCGCTCAATTCATCCTCTTCTGTTGGTGCAGGTTCTGCTTGTGGTGGTGATTCTTTGCTCTCTTCCGCGACAGCTTTCTTCGGTGGCGGCTGCGGGTGTTCTTCTTCTGAGTCCTGTTTGGATTGGGAGTGCTTGCGCTTCTTCCCCTTCACACCAAAAGGTCGTGTCATTGCCTCTGCCTCAAACAAACCCCAACTCTCCAAACACTGATTACACGTCCTAGGGTTCTGCTTTTTGTGGAAATCCTTTTATCTGAGCTTATAATATGGTACACCCAAAACCTTGGTGTAGTGAAGGTTTGATGAAAACCTAACCCTTGGATATATAATGATATGATTATAATTTTTTTATATATTACAATGGTTCTTTATGTCCTTTACAATGATACTATTTCATTTATTTAAAATATAATTTGGTAACACATTACTCTCCCCTTATAATACAGTATAATAACTTATTAATTTAAAAAAATTATGCAAATGCTCATTTACTCAAAAATACATATAAGTATCTTGTAATATTAAATATTTATTTTTATGGCAAATATCATGTATAATATTTTAGTGAATTATAAAATCAATCTATAATATATCATAAGATATTATATTATATCATGCGCATGTGTATTTTTTTTTATAACAAAAGATAATAAAACTATAATTATAAAAATAAAAAATATTATTTTGATTTTATTGTAAATACTTTTATTTATTTTTATATGTAATTTTATTATAAATCAATTATAAAAAATTAGTTTCTGAATGTCACGATCCAATCAAAACTAATATACTTCACTAACATAACATGGTTATAGGTTATAAAACATTATGAGATATATTTTATAAGTATTTATATATTAATAATATATATGATTAAATTTCAATAATTTGATTATAATGTAATCTTTTTTAATATTATATATTGAAAAAATTTTGATAAATTAAATAAGGTGTTACATTATCATTATTATTTAGTTAATTATCATATATAGGATAAGTTATTATATCCGTCAATATTATTTGACATTACCAATTTTATCGAGTCATGTGACCCAAAAACTATATAAGTACACATAGTATTTTATAAGAACAATAAATACTCACTTGTACTAATTATTTCTTACTTAAAATATTTAAATAGGTTTAAACTCTATTACTCACTTAAGCGTATGAGAGTTTTTTTTTTTTCAGGTGGATCTCCTCCTACATTCCAACCCACAAGAGTACACATCAAGATTTTTTAATTCACTAGAATTTTGCCACATGTACGAAGGTTCACGCTTAGAATACCAGTAAAAACATTTGACACCTATCATGGGACCCCGTTAAAACTCTGTACTAGCCTCACTCTTTGGAGGATCTCATCTAATAACTTATCCACTTTGGCACTTTAGCCAAGTTCATTCAAAGGGAAGCGACAATCGAGGATGACTAGGTTGAGGTAGAGAATGTGACAACTTCACAAGGCAAGTACAATGATAGTTGTATCAGTCCAACATGGTATTTTGGACACTGAGTTTTGATCATGTATAAACCCAACAGCCCACTACCTCTTCCACAAAACTAGTAATTTGGAGCTGGTATGATACCTCATAGTGGAGGTAAACACTTCCTACAACATCCTAATTGGACGGAGAACGCTAAACAAGCTCAGAGACGTTGTGTCTAATCAATACATGGCAATGAAGTTTTTAGGCAAGGACTACTCGACCATTATCATTCTCAAGGCAGATCCAAAAGATGCAAGGACCTATTATGCCCTAAGTTTGAAAGTGACACCATATGTATCCCCTACTAGCCCAACAGACACACCAACACGCTAGCTCGCATAACAAAGATAAAATAGTTTGTCTCACTGCAAATAGAACCACACCCTAGCAAACAAAGCAATCATGTTGACCAATGTTTTCAAATTACCAAAGTTGATCTGAACAACAGTGTCTTTAACCTCGAGTCCAAAGTTAAGTTCTGAAAGGACAATCAATTTTCATTCAACAAGCTTATTCAATATGTCGTATAGCACACCGTTGATCACGTAAGACAAAAAATTACATTTAATACTTTTTAAAAGAAAAAAGATAAAAATAATTAGAATTTTGAATAGAATATATAAAATTACATAATAATTTAGGAAGAAAAAAATATTTAATCTTTCTTAAAACAATCCTAGATTTGTTTTTATAATAAAATATTATATTAAGATAATAATAAAAATAAATATAAATAGTAGTTTAAATAAAATAATCATATATTTAGCTGTTTAGGAAGTATGTAGAATAATAAAGGTGTATTATAACTTGTTACTACTGTTGAATAATTGCATCAATGGAAGCTGGCCGAGTGGAATCCAAAAAAATTTTAGTCCAAATTTTCTAAAATAATTCAATTTTATAGGGTTTCAATAATCCAAAATTTTTTCAAAACTAGCAATTATTTAACTTGGTTTTCATTACTGAACTGGTATTCTTTGCCTCTTATTTACTTATCAAACATTTTTGACACATACTATCTTCGTTCCAAAATTACTTCGAAAAAAAACTAAGCAGTTTTTCTTTAGATTGAGTTATAACAAATCTGGTGCTTGTGGGTACGGTGGCGGTGGCGGTGGCGAATGAAGCTCCGAGTTGTTGGTGCGGCGGTCCCCGTCGCAGCCACCACCACCCCTTGTCTCCACAGACTCTTTTCCGTGTCCAAATTAGACGACGAAAACGATGGTCGTTTTGTGTCACTTCTTTGCGACATCGTTCGAGGAAAGCAGAGTTGGAAGGTGGCTCTGAACGATGCTTCAATTTCATCGGCATTGAGACCCCATCATGTGGAACAAGTCTTGATCAACACCTTGGACGATTCCAGGTTAGCTTTGAGGTTCTTCAACTTTATGGGTCTGCACAAAAACATGAACCACTCGACAGCCTCCTTCGCCATCTTGGTCCACGCACTTGTTCACTCCAGACTCTTCTGGCCCGCTAATTCCCTCTTGCAAACCCTTCTCCTTCGTGGGTCCCACCCCAATTACGTTTTTCAACACTTTCTACACTCTTACAAGCTATGTAAGCTTTCGTCCACTTTGGGTTTCGATTTGCTGGTTCAGAGTTACGTGCTAAGTTCACGAGTTTTTGATGCTATTGTCGTGGTGAAACTCATGCTTGCCAATGCTTTGTTGCCTGAGGTTAGAACCTTGAGTTCCCTCTTAAACGGGCTTTTGAGAGTTAGAAAATTTATAACGGTTTGCGAATTGTTTGATGAGTCTGTGAATGCGGGTGTTCGACCTGATCCTTATACTTGTTCCGCTGTGGTTCGGAGTCTCTGTGAATTGAAAGATTTTTTTAGAGCTAAGGAGAAGATTCTGTGGATGGAATCTAATGGGTTTGATTTGAGTATTGTAACTTACAATGTCTTGATTCATGGGCTGTGCAAGGGTGATAGAGTCGGGGAAGCTGTTGAGGTTAAAAGATCATTGAGGGCGAAGGGTTTGAAAGCTGATGTTGTTACATACTGTACACTAGTGCTTGGTTTTTGTAGGGTGCAACAATTTGAGGCTGGAATTCAGCTTATGGATGATATGGTTCAATTGGGGCTTGCTCCATCCGAAGCTGCTGTGTCGGGTTTAGTAGATGGATTGAGAAAGCAGGGAAAGATTGAGGATGCTTATGAGTTGGTAGTTAAGGTAGGGAGGTCTGGTTTTGTTCCGAATTTGTTTGTTTATAATGCATTGATCAATTCTTTGTACAAAGGTGGAGATTTCGATAAGGCAGAGTTGCTTTATAAGAATATGAGTTTGATGAACTTGCATCCCAATGGTATTACTTATTCCATTCTTATTGATTCCTTCTGCAGAAGGGGGAGGTTGGATGTCGCAAGATCTTATTTTGATAGAATGATAGAAGATGGTATAAGAGAAACTGTATATGCCTACAACTCTTTGATAAATGGCCAATGCAAGTTTGGGGATTTGAGTGCAGCCGAGTCCCTGTTTACTGAGATGATCAATAAAGGGGTGGAGCCAACTGCCACAACTTTTACGTCATTGATTAGTGGTTATTGTAAAAACCTACAACTACTAAAAGCATTTGAGTTATATAATGAGATGATCGAGAAAGGAATTACTCCAAACATTTATACCTTCACAGCACTTATTTCTGGGCTTTGCAGCACAAATAAGATGGCTGAAGCATCCAAACTTTTTTATGATTTGGTTGAAAGGAAAATCAAGCCAACTGAGGTGACATATAATGTGTTGATTGAAGGGTATTGTAGGGATAACAACATTGATAAAGCCTTTGAATTGTTTGAAGACATGCTTCAAAAGGGCCTTGTTCCTGACACATATACCTATAGACCTCTTATCAGTGGCCTTTGCTCAACTGGTAGGGTTTCTGAAGCTAGAGATTTTATTGATGTTCTCCACAAGCAGAAAGTAAAGTTAAATGAGATGTGCTATAGTGCACTTCTTCATGGTTATTGCCAGGAAGGAAGATTGATGGAGGCACTGAGTGCTTCTTGTGAAATGATTCAAAGAGGAATCAACATGGATCTGGTTTGCCATGCTGTTCTTATTGACGGTGCTCTAAAGCAGCCAGACAGGAAAACGTTTTTTGATCTCTTAAAAAACATGCATGATCAAGGATTGAGACCTGATAATGTAATATATACAAGTATGATAGATGCATACAGCAAAGAAGGATCTCTGAAGAAAGCTTTTGAATGCTGGGATTTGATGGTTACTGAGGAATGCTTTCCTAATGTCGTGACTTATACCGCTTTGATGAATGGTTTATGCAAAGCAGGAGAAATGGACAGAGCAGGTATTCTTTTTAAAAAGATGCTGGCTGCAAATGTCCCTCCCAGTTCAATCACGTATGGCTGTTTTCTTGACAATCTTACGAAGGAGGGATATATGAACGAAGCTATAGGCCTTCACCATGCAATGCTTACAGGGCTTTTAGCTAACACTGTAACATACAACATTATTATCCGGGGCTTCTGCAGACTGGGTAGATTTCATGAAGCCACTGAAGTTCTTTCTGAAATGACTGGACATGGTATTTTCCCTGACTGTGTTACCTATTCAACATTAATTTATGAGTATTGCAGAAATGGCAATGTAGGGGCAGCTGTTAACTTATGGGATACCATGTTAAAGAAAGGTCTCAAACCAGATTTGGTTGCATACAACTTGCTAATATATGGCTGTTGTGTTAATGGAGAGCTCGACAAGGCATTTGAATTGCATGATGATATGTTGAAGAGAGGGATGAAGCCAAGACAAAGTTTACGAGAATTGCATAAGGGTGAATATAAGAGCCCCAGCTAAGTTGTGGTATAACACGCACATAGCAAAGGTTTGAAACCCGTATTATGGTTGTTGCAGTAATGACGAGCTCAGAGAAGGGTGAAACAAGGCAAAATATGTAGAATCTGCTGAGGTTGAATTATCCGGAAACGAGGTTGGTGCTTGAAGCAAGTGGTTTCTAAAGCCTGAAAACGTTGAAGTGATAAGTAATCTCAGTGATGTGGCGTCGTATCCAAAGCAGAAAGAGCCAGGTGAAAGTTTAATATTTGCAAAGTTGAACAAATGTTTTATATTAGTATTAATGACATTTTACCAAATATCATATATAAATTATGTACTATTTTTTCTGTAGAGGACAAATTGGAACCTTGCAGACGTGAATGAGAGCATTACCAAAAGATTGAAACTAGTTGCAAGGCCTATTTTGTATTTAGTGTAGGCCACCGCTATTTTCAATTTACTTGCAACTTCAAGATGCTATAATACTCTAATGCTAAGCAGTTACGTTTGTTGTCATGATTGGTGATTACAAAAAGTGCTGCTAAAAGTATAGACTGCTTATGAAGCAATTGATACAAATTTGGGTTAGCATTGAACATGAAAACTGCAAAATTTGTACAGCTGCATGAACAGTAGTTAGTGTTTGTCAGAACTTTTTTTGGAGTTCTCTATTACTTTGAGAGGAAAAAAAGTCACTGTGTACACTAATGCTTAAAATAAAAGCAACTTCTTGCCAGTGAACAAAAGTCAAAAAGATGAAACTTCTATAACCGAACTCATTTTTCACACAATGTTAAATATTAATACATCATTTTATTTTATGTAGTCAATATCCATTTTTTATTTTGAAATTGCAGTTAAGTGATGCTTGGGCCAGCTGCGTTATGATTGATCATCTCTCCAGTGTGGCTGTAGACAAGTCATTCATTAATTCATTCAATTGGATATCTTGAAGCCGGAATCAAGCAATTGGCGTGGTGAAGATTTAAATATATGATTTGTGCTAACCACCACCACTAAACATGATACTATTTGTTTAGTCACCAGGGTTCAACTTCCAATCTCCAATCCCATGAAAATCTGATTTCGCATTCATTGAAAAGTAGGAGCGTGTTTAAGGCCTCTAACCTTACAAGAATAAGATCTCCTTTAGAATAAAAACTCCATAAATAAGCTTGTTCTAACCTGGTTCAATGGTTGTATTGGATTACTTGATTCATCATTTTTGAGCTATAAAAGATTAAGAAAACATAAAAAAATATTTGCAAAAATAAAAAAGTAACAGAAATTATACCGGAGAAGATGTAATATAATTAAAGGTTAAATAGTTTTTAATTTTTAAATTTTATGAGAAATGTAATTCATTTACGAGAAATTGTAATTCATTTATGAAATTTTGATATATTTTAATTGAAAAAATTTAAGAGTAAATGAATATAGTTTTTTTAATTTAATTATGTTACATTTTTTTATATATCAAACCTATTTTATATTAATACGTTAAAAAATTTAATATAATTAAATTTAAAAAGTTATATCTATTTTTTAATTTTAAAAATTAAAATATATCAAAATTTTACACAAACAAATTCTAAAAGTGAAGGCAGGAAAACTTCTTGATTCCCTAAGGAAACAATTTTTTATTGTGGATATTTTAGGATCAACCTAGGTTCTAGAACTTACAATAGTTAATTTGAATCATGTTAAGTGTTGACTTTGTGCAGCAAATAGATCTATATTTCGGAGAAAGCTTGGTTTGGCATTTTTGTTTGCAGCTTTTGTTTGGACTATCATTAAAATCGGCCACATTTCTAGGTAATCTTTTTCCTTCTTTGTGTAATTATCTGATTCAGGAACATCTTGGGCTTCATCATTTTAAACATATTTGCCTTCCCAAAAAGACTTTGACTAATCACGGATGAATGGTTTGGATTGCAAGGGTTTTGTTGTAAGACTTGACTTCTATAGAAATTATTCTGTGCAGTGAAATCCAATGACAGAGAAATTCAAATACCTTTGAAAATCAATCAAGAACCACCATCCAAAAACTATGGAATCACCATAAATAACATTTTGGAAGCCAAGAATCACCCTGATATAAATAATATCTCATACAAACTGAACTCAGTTCCACAGTTTTTATCAGCAAGGATTTTAAAACAAAAATTTCATCATCATCATTATCATCATCATCACTGTCAACTAAAGATTAATCCCAAATCATTTTGTAGACAAAGAACACGGCAAATCTTCACGCGGTTCATAATTAGTTCGAGCTGCTATCCTTCGTGAACACTCGCGGTTCATGATCAACAGCACCATGTTGATCCGACAGAAGACTATAGTAGTTTAAGTCCACCTGTTACCTCATCTACTACCTCAACGGGTCCTGCACATCAATATCACCTTACATCAATATCACCTTACATCAAACTACTTCTACTTCTATAAAATGAAAATCTAAATGATAAGAATCAGTTTTTACTCTCAGTTAAACGTCACCAAATTATCATTTTATTTTCCGGTTTCAAAGATTTGTATAGAAAATAATAAAACAGTTTTTTATTGTTTCCTTTTACTATTTCATATACAAATATTCGAAAGCAGACAAAAAAAAAAACTATTTTGTAATTAAAAGAAGAATTTGTATAACCAAAAGAGTTCATTCAGTAGAGGAGAGTATTACCAAGAATTGCCATCACTGTTCTGGAATCTAGAACAAAAAGGAAAAATAAACGTAAATTAACTGCAAAACGTATTAAATATATACATAAAAATCATATTATACAGATAAAACAGGTAGAATACGTATAGAATAACCAAAGTAAAACCAGTCATTTATCTAACTTTACTATTGAACATAGAAATCAAACAAGCTTTTCTCACACGAGATAGACAAATTATATACAGTCCAAAGAACCAATTTAGCAACTCTACTATTCAGAATGTGTGCAGGAATCAACATTTTCGAGCATGAATTATAGTTCAATATTAAAAAACGACCATGGAATGAACATTTTCCAGTGGAATGCTGTGAAACTCACTCTAGTTGCAATTCTACCTGTCCACAGCTTCCTATGATGCATAGACACAGTCCAAGTATTGGATAAAATACAAACCCAACACAATACAACTACTTTTCAAATATATATGATACAATATGTGCAAGATACATGTATACACATAATGGCATCATAACAGATAATAAATATATAGTTGCAATTCCAAAAATCTAAATCAAGGAGTTGTTGAACTGTAATAAAATAAAAAAAATTATAATCAATTGCTATCATATATCATTGCCTACTGCCAACATATAGGAATAAAACGTATACTGTCCTTGAATATCATTGGTAAAGAGGATAGCTTCAACATTTAGTTCATCAAGGGGCAATGTTTCTATGCTTTTATCATTATGCTTTTATCGTATACTGTCTTCGTTAGATTCAAAAAGTCAAGAAATTTATATACTTCAAAGATACCGGTGAAGCATCTAAGAGTTTCCATATCAGATACATATCCAATACATATACACGGAGAAAATGCGGGCATAGAAGGTTATCGACGACTTCCATAGATACAGTAACATTATATACAATTTAACCAAGATCTGTGGCAAAAAGTGTGTGAGAGAAAGAGAAGATTCCCTTAATGCAAGAGTAAGTATTGTCGTTTAAATAACTTTTTCAGAATTGAAATTTCTCATTCACAAAATTTCATATAACTTGACAACTAGTTGATACTTGATAAAAGCTGTTTGATATCTATAAGCAACTACTTAGAGGAATTTTCAAATACTCACTTGGTGCAATCTGTGTTCTCCCAGCATCAATTGTGATATGGGTGGGTAACTTCAGAGATTTAGCCCTTTCCTAACTCATTAAGCAATATTTTGCGAAAAACAAAAACCAGCTTTAGATAGAAGGAGCCATGCATAAAAAGAATCAAGATAAATGGTAAGGAAAAAAATGTAGCAAAAAATACCTTAGGCATTTCCAATAAGTTAAAAACTGACTTTTCCTTTTTCTATTCACTAGTTGAAGTGTCAAAAAAAGTGTGAATTTTCTATTTTACTCCTAGTCGCTGACCTTGCTTTGCATATTTTCTCATGTAATGGTCAAACTACTTCATGTGGTTCACTTCATGGGAAAAAGTGTGGACTTATAACTATTGAGTGAAAATCAACTACTGATATCTTCATCATCTAACAGTTCGTTTACTGTTACAATCTTAGCTATTGACTTTTCCATTAACAGCTATCTCTCCACATTTATCCTCTAATGTGCACCCCTTTAACAGGGTCAAATCCTACAACCAAACTTGCAACCTAATTTTTACAAGATAAAGCAAAAGATAGGCAACTTTACATCTTTCTTATTGAATTAAAGTTAATTGGTTTCCAATCAAAATTCATTGTGGTCAAATAACCGATTAATGTGTATAGGGAATGCTAACAACACACTCTTTCTAAGGCATCCTTTATAACACACTTATTATTGGTTAAAACTCATTAGAAACTTCAAAAACGGTGAGTGAGACTCAGAAATATAAGAAAACCAAAAATTGTGATTTTCAATATTTTTCTGTCGATAGTATCCAGTGAATAAAAAAGTGTGCCGCTAACATTCTTTCTAGATGCATTATAGGAGCCAAGTACCAAATGCAATTTATAAAATAGATCACGCAAAAACATAGCTAATGCAGAAAATTTCCCTAAATAATACTCACCTGCATAGCAAGCATATCTTCTTCACTTTCAATTTTGACAACAACCTTTGGCTGCGCAGACATCTCCCACCTGTATACATTGATATTGACGTAGACTTCAGAATGAAATTATACAATGCAGAGTAACCTTCAAGCGTAATCAAAGTTACTCTGGTACCTATTCAACGCCTTTGGTGCTCGATGAAGGAGCTTTTTATAGAGACCCAACGTTGCATGACTGCCAAAAAACAGAAAGAAGTAGTGAGTTCGAACCATTTATCAGGTTTTTATTGAACATTAATAACATAAAAGTCGATAGAAATTAAGAGAAGATAAAAATAAATGAAAAAGAGAGAGCTATAAATCAGTCCACAAACTAGACAACCAGATTGATAGAAGTCTCAAACTCTCAGCACATTCAAAATTAACACTTTGAAAAACTACATACCTGCACTGAGCAGCAATCTTCCCTTTGCCCATTTTAAGATCATTTCTGACAACGAGAATCTGCAGAAAAAGGAACAATTTTTGAGGCAGCCAATTAAGATTGAGTAGATGGGGTATTGAGAAAAGAAAAAAAAAGAAGGGATTTTTGCGTACCATCTTAAAATCATCGAGAATGTCAGCTAGTTGTTCAATCTGAAGAGGGTCTTTGAGTTTGGACTTACTATTTCTCTTATTGTTGGTATCGTTGAAAAGTGTAGCATCGTTGTGTTTCGTCAATAATTTACGTGAGAAAATGAAACGAGGAGGATACTGAGAACCTATGAAGTAACCCAAAGCAAGATAACCAGCTCCCACCAGAATGGCACTCAACCATGTCAGTTCCATCTATGATTCAACTTTTAGGGTTTCTGAGGAAGCAAACAATATCACACAATCTTACACTTTTTTTTGGATAAATTGGTAAATNACGGGTCCTGCACATCAATATCACCTTACATCAAACTACTTCTACTTCTATAAAATGAAAATCTAAATGATAAGAATCAGTTTTTACTCTCAGTTAAACGTCACCAAATTATCATTTTATTTTCCGGTTTCAAAGATTTGTATAGAAAATAATAAAACAGTTTTTTATTGTTTCCTTTTACTATTTCATATACAAATATTCGAAAGCAGACAAAAAAAAATAATATTTTGTAATTAAAAGAAGAATTTGTATAACCAAAAGAGTTCATTCAGTAGAGGAGAGTATTACCAAGAATTGCCATCACTGTTCTGGAATCTAGAACAAAAAGGAAAAATAAATGTAAATTAACTGCAAAACGTATTAAATATATACACAAAAATCATATTATACAGATAAAACAGGTAGAATACGTATAGAATAACCAAAGTAAAACCAGTCATTTATCTAACTTTACTATTGAACATAGAAATCAAACAAGCTTTTCTCACACGAGATAGACAAATTATATACAGTCCAAAGAACCAATTTAGCAACTCTACTATTCAGAATGTGTGCAGGAATCAACATTTTCGAGCATGAATTATAGTTCAATATTAAAAAACGACCATGGAATGAACATTTTCCAGTGGAATGCTGTGAAACTCACTCTAGTTGCAATTCTACCTGTCCACAGCTTCCTATGATGCATAGACACAGTCCAAGTATTGGATAAAATACAAACCCAACACAATACAACTACTTTTCAAATATATATGATACAATATGTGCAAGATACATGTATACACATAATGGCATCATAACAGATAATAAATATATAGTTGCAATTCCAAAAATCTAAATCAAGGAGTTGTTGAACTGTAATAAAATAAAAAAAATTATAATCAATTGCTATCATATATCATTGCCTACTGCCAACATATAGGAATAAAACGTATACTGTCCTTGAATATCATTGGTAAAGAGGATAGCTTCAACATTTAGTTCATCAAGGGGCAATGTTTCTATGCTTTTATCATTATGCTTTTATCGTATACTGTCTTCGTTAGATTCAAAAAGTCAAGAAAGTTATATACTTCAAAGATACCGGTGAAGCATCTAAGAGTTTCCATATCAGATACATATCCAATACATATACACGGAGAAAATGCGGGCATAGAAGGTTATCGACGACTTCCATAGATACAGTAACATTATACACAATTTAACCAAGATCTGTGGCAAAAAGTGTGCGAGAGAAAGAGAAGATTCCCTTAATGCAAGAGTAAGTATTGTCGTTTAAATAACTTTTTCAGAATTGAAATTTCTCATTCACAAAATTTCATATAACTTGACAACTAGTTGATACTTGATAAAAGCTGTTTGATATCTATAAGCAACTACTTAGAGGAATTTTCAAATACTCACTTGGTGCAATCTGTGTTCTCCCAGCATCAATTGTGATATGGGTGGGTAACTTCAGAGATTTAGCCCTTTCCTAACTCATTAAGCAATATTTTGCGAAAAACAAAAACCAGCTTTAGATAGAAGGAGCCATGCATAAAAAGAATCAAGATAAATGGTAAGGAAAAAAATGTAGCAAAAAATACCTTAGGCATTTCCAATAAGTTAAAAACTGACTTTTCCTTTTTCTATTCACTAGTTGAAGTGTCAAAAAAAGTGTGAATTTTCTATTTTACTCCTAGTCGCTGACCTTGCTTTGCATATTTTCTCATGTAATGGTCAAACTACTTCATGTGGTTCACTTCATGGGAAAAAGTGTGGACTTATAACTATTGAGTGAAAATCAACTACTGATATCTTCATCATCTAACAGTTCGTTTACTGTTACAATCTTAGCTATTGACTTTTCCATTAACAGCTATCTCTCCACATTTATCCTCTAATGTGCACCCCTTTAACAGGGTCAAATCCTACAACCAAACTTGCAACCTAATTTTTACAAGATAAAGCAAAAGATAGGCAACTTTACATCTTTCTTATTGAATTAAAGTTAATTGGTTTCCAATCAAAATTCATTGTGGTCAAATAACCGATTAATGTGTATAGGGAATGCTAACAACACACTCTTTCTAAGGCATCCTTTATAACACACTTATTATTGGTTAAAACTCATTAGAAACTTCAAAAACGGTGAGTGAGACTCAGAAATATAAGAAAACCAAAAATTGTGATTTTCAATATTTTTCTGTCGATAGTATCCAGTGAATAAAAAAGTGTGCCGCTAACATTCTTTCTAGATGCATTATAGGAGCCAAGTACCAAATGCAATTTATAAAATAGATCACGCAAAAACATAGCTAATGCAGAAAATTTCCCTAAATAATACTCACCTGCATAGCAAGCATATCTTCTTCACTTTCAATTTTGACAACAACCTTTGGCTGCGCAGACATCTCCCACCTGTATACATTGATATTGACGTAGACTTCAGAATGAAATTATACAATGCAGAGTAACCTTCAAGCGTAATCAAAGTTACTCTGGTACCTATTCAACGCCTTTGGTGCTCGATGAAGGAGCTTTTTATAGAGACCCAACGTTGCATGACTGCCAAAAAACAGAAAGAAGTAGTGAGTTCGAACCATTTATCAGGTTTTTATTGAACATTAATAACATAAAAGTCGATAGAAATTAAGAGAAGATAAAAATAAATGAAAAAGAGAGAGCTATAAATCAGTCCACAAACTAGACAACCAGATTGATAGAAGTCTCAAACTCTCAGCACATTCAAAATTAACACTTTGAAAAACTACATACCTGCACTGAGCAGCAATCTTCCCTTTGCCCATTTTAAGATCATTTCTGACAACGAGAATCTGCAGAAAAAGGAACAATTTTTGAGGCAGCCAATTAAGATTGAGTAGATGGGGTATTGAGAAAAGAAAAAAAAAGAAGGGATTTTTGCGTACCATCTTAAAATCATCGAGAATGTCAGCTAGTTGTTCAATCTGAAGAGGGTCTTTGAGTTTGGACTTACTATTTCTCTTATTGTTGGTATCGTTGAAAAGTGTAGCATCGTTGTGTTTCGTCAATAATTTACGTGAGAAAATGAAACGAGGAGGATACTGAGAACCAATGAAGTAACCCAAAGCAAGATAACCAGCTCCCACCAGAATGGCACTCAACCATGTCAGTTCCATCTATGATTCAACTTTTAGGGTTTCTGAGGAAGCAAACAATATCACACAATCTTACACTTTTTTTTGGATAAATTGGTAAATGGCCAATTTCTGATTACAAGTGTAGTTTATTTTTTTTCTTCTAAAGTCAGAAGATGAGCCAAATATATATATTTAAAAAGTCTCTTTATGCTCTTTGCAATCAAATAAATAAAGCATCCTATTCTCCTAAAATTTGAAATGTTTGCATATTATATGTTAAAATAATAACATTTTAAAATAAGTTTTTTTTGTTATTTTTTAAGAATAATGATAATATTGTATTTTCACATTAACAAATTTCTACACTCTTTTACTTTTCAGTTTTTATAAATATAAAAGTCTATTTTTTTAATAACCGTGTTACTTCTAAAAATAAGTTATCAAGTGATCAATGGGTGTAAAAAAGTTATTTTTCTTTTTATAATTGTTTTATTCATGTCTAAAATTAACCACTTTGCTTTAATATATAATTTAAATAGTTTTTTTGACCAATGCAATTGAAATGTTTGTTTAAAAATTTATTTAGTATTTCTTAATTTAGAAAACCAAATTCACAATATTAAGAAATCTGAACGACTAAAATGGTAATTTACTCTACTCTATTGTATCAACCAAAATTTCCTATTATTTTTCTGAAAAGTTTTTTTTTTTTTTTCATTTAGCAACTTAAAATAACGTAATTCATGTTTGGTTGATTTTGCCTTTTAACTGATGTTTTGTTTGGAAAAGAAGAGATAATAAAGTAAAATTAATAGGTAGAATAGAATAGAAAAATAGAGAAATAGATAAAAGTAATAATGGATATGGTTTGGTTTAAAAGTAAATAAAAAGGAGATAGAGTGAAAAACAATTTTAAATTTTATTCTATTTTAAAATTAATTTTAATTTTATTATTATAAAGTAATTTGGAAAAAGAACACCGAAACAACGTGCTACCATAAATTATTTGAGAGAGAAAAAATTAAATTAAATTGTAACATGATTTAATGAACAAATAATTTCTCTATTAGTTTACAGAAATGTGTTGTTTTGAATCCTATTAATATTTTTACCAAATTATTAATAATTTTTCACTTCGGCCTTTTCCTTTTCTTATTTATCTACCATAAAATAAAATAAAAAAACCTAAATAGGTGTATGGAATAACATGCGTGAGCAATAACTTATTGTGAATTTAATTCCAAACAAACCCATTACTTTAGTCAATTTTACCTTTATTAACTAATGTAACCTTCTGTTGACTGCGTTAAATAGTTTTAATAAACTAGTTTTTTAATTGAACTTTATTTCTAAATTTTGAAATATTATTATCAAATATTGTTCTTAAGTGATAACGTGCTAAAATACGTTAACTTGATTAACTTATAATATTTAATATTAATATACGTTGAAATTTAATTTCATAATTTATTGAAGGATACATTCTATAACACGGTATAATTTTTTTAAAAACTATGAATCACAGATGACGCTACAAGAACAAATTATATCAAGTAATTAAAGATAAAGTAATTTATTATTCGAATCTATATTTTCGAAATATTTGTTATTTATATTCAAAATTCCTTTTACTTCTACCTTTAAATTAAAATTTAAAAATTGTCTTTTGCATAATTTTATTTTCCTGAATTAAATTTTTTCAGAAAGCAAAATAATTTAAGATCCTTTTTGAAACCGATATTTGACTCCGGAAAACTTTTATAATTGAACTAGTTAACAAGTATTTTAATATTTATTTAACTTTTAATACATTAAACTTTAATAATATTTAAATGATCAAATCATTACGTACTCTTTTACTTTATTATGTTATCATATTTCGTCCTCACACTCATGTTAAACACTCATTAATGTTAAACACTAACAAATGTTAATGTTAGTGTTAATAACATATTTTGATAATATTTTCACACTTCACGTGTATTTTGTGAATAATTTAAAATTATTTTACAATCAATAATAATAATTATAAATACTAACATAATCTTAAAATGATAAAATGATAAATAAATGGTATTAAAAAGTTTCAAAAAAATATTATCAAACAATTATTGTTTTATTCTAATATCAAGTAGGCGAGTTTATAATTTTGTCACCGTTGTAGTAAAAAACGTCTAAAAAATTTGAGTTAAAAATATATATTTAGATTGTAATTGACTTCGATGCAAGGATTCCTAAACAATATCTAACATATTTCTAAACAATATTTTTAAATATGAGATTATTAAATAATTACTTACAAATTTTTCATTTACTATATTATTTCCTCACATCTCATTTCACTCATATATTATATGACTGTCCGATCAGATCGAACAGTCAACAATCAAACCAACTCTGATTAAAAATATCAAGTGACACTGAATAGACCAAACAATACAAAAAAAAAAAATTTAAGGATCACATTATTAGAGTTAAAAAATAATTAGTGCAAATATAGTTAATCTGGACCAAACAAACCAAACCGAAATAACTATTAATTAAACTTTGTTGTATAAGTTAAAATAAAAATCAGAAAAAGGAAGCTCCTTTACTGTCAACGGAAACAAAGAACAGTGAAACGTGTGCGTTAAAGTAAGTTACCCCATCCCTTCCAATGTCACAATATCTGAACTATCTACAAATAACAAAGTATCTTATAATTATCTTATAATGCTTCTATTTTTCTATATATTCGTTATCTTTTGCAACCAGTGTCATGTTTCAAATCCAATCTTAAACCCTAATAAGGAACTGCGGTGGCGGGGTACCACATCCCCACGATCCTCTGTTTTCAATTTAATTTTTATGATTAACTATTAATTATTATTTAAGATAATGCAACGCATTATCCTCTGTAGCAGATATTTTGGCCTGTCCGTAATCTACGTTCACATAATCTGGACACGAATACTGAGCCAGACAATAGCACGTGTTATTTCACATCGATTTTCTCAATCCTTACGTCAAAACCGTGCTGAATAAAGTTCTGGCAAAGATCCAAAAACCCTCATAAACATCCAAACGCGTAAATTTTCTTCAGAAACAATTAAAATATCTACATAAAAGTACAATAATGATGAGGCAACACAGATCGCGTTCGTCAAACGCATGATAAACGGTAGTTAACAGTATTCATTCTTAGAAACAACGAAAAGCAGATCGAAAGAGAAAACGAAAGATAAAATTAGGCGAATAATAAGGGTCCTAAGTTTTTATTGAAGGTAGCTCATCATTTTTATGTTTTTCATGACACTCGATTCACTCTATGACCACATACTGATATTAGAAACAAAGGAAAGGATTCAAAGGGAAGAGTTCGAGATGATCTATAACACCACAATCCCTCTGTTAGACAGGAGAAAAAAAAAGGAAAAATCGACAATGAAAACACGACACAGATTCAGAGCCACCAGCACAGATACAACCGCCTCGGGTCAACGCCGTCCATCTAGGAGAGTTGACCGCAGTCAGCGATGGCGACCGGCCTCGAGGTCTTGCCGGAGCTGGATCCGACCTTCTCGATGTCCTTCACCACGTTCAGTCCCTCGACGACCTGTCCGAACACCACGTGCTTGCCGTCGAGCCACTCCGTCTTCGTTGTGCAGACGAAGAACTGAGATCCGTTGGTTCCAGGACCGGCGTTCGCCATGGAGAGAATGCCGGGACCGGTGTGCTTCTTCACGAAGTTCTCGTCGGCGAACTTTTCGCCGTAGATCGACTCGCCCCCAGTTCCGTTTCCGGCGGTGAAGTCGCCGCCTTGGCACATGAAGTTCGGGATCACACGGTGGAAGATCGAGCCCTTGTAGTGGAGCGGCTTGCCGCTCCTACCGACTCCCTTCTCACCGGTGCAGAGAGCGCGGAAGTTCTCGGCGGTGCGGGGAACGGTGTCGGCATAGAGCTCAAACACGATCCTGCCAGCGGGTTGGCCGCCGATGGTCATGTCGAAGAAGACCTTAGGGTTCGGCATAGTTGCAGAGACGGGAAATGAAGGTCACAACGAGTAAGAAGAAGAGGGATTAGGGTTTTGGTTGACGTTGAGATTGACGCGAGAGAGAGAGTATTTATAATGGCGCGTGCTGGCGAATGGCTCCGGAAGTGACCGTTTGATGGGACACGTGGCCGCGTGTTAGAAAATTGGATTAACCATGGTTGAGTTTGGAGTTGACTAGGGTTAGTGAAGCGGATCCGATGTCACGGATATGCTCTTGTGATTATTTATGCCCATGAGTTTGATGGGTGTGGACTTTCCAAGCTTTTTCCACTCAACCAAAAAATCACGTCCAATTATTTTCTTCTTACTAAAATTTAACCTCTTTTTACTACGAAAATAAAATAATCTTTTTAAAATTAAAATTTAATAATTAATTCATACATGTCGTCAACCTTCACCAGTCTATTTTAAAAAATGTTAAAACATTAACACTTATATTTTACAAATCTTTTTAATTTTTATTATCAAATAACTAAGTGATGTTATACATCTATCGAGCTCCGTCATTTACGATAGCACGAGATAAGGAGACATTAGTTATATTTCTTTTAAATGCATTTATCTAACAAATTGAAATTATAATCACCATACAAAATTATGGTATAATACTAAAACATCAGTAATTTTAATTTATGAATTAAATTAAAAAATATTTAATTTTGTGTTTTTTTTAATAGGAAAAGAAAAAAAAGGCGGTGATAAAATGTATATATCCTTTGCGTGAGAATTTAGATTATTTTATTTGGTGGAGATAGCGTGAGAATTAGTTGATGTGAAAAAAGATAGTGGTAATGAATGTGGACAAGGATTCATAAAAAGAGGGACCATTCATCTACAGTGTTCTCTTCTTTCAACATTAAATAAAAACGTCTCTATTTTTTTTACTTTTATTTCTATCACATTATTTTAATATACATTTTTGGCACTAGTTTTTTTTTTAAAAATATAAACCACTTTTCTAAGTGAAAAGTGAAACTTGAATCATTTTGTATGTAAAAAATGTGTTATAAATGCTCTAGAAGTAGTTGGCACGACACATCGATTACTGTGTCAAGTCAATGCAGTCCACTTTAATTCCCAAACATAAGAGCTAGATATTGCCATTTAATAATAATAATAATGATATTATATAGTCATTTATGGCTATGAGGCTTTAATTTCTAATTTTACATATTTTCATAATAGAGATGGTACTTTAAAGAGTCTTGAAATACTTTTATTTACAAGATCAAATATTAAAATAAAATATTGGAATATAGAAAATAGAAATAAAAATAGTTATAGTCTCGAAGAATAAAGAATAAAGAATAAAGTAAAAGTTTGTCGTTGTCAAATCAAAGAAGTAACCAGATATATATTAATAAGATATTGTTTCCGATCGTGGGAAAAAGAAAAACACAACGTACACGAAAAATAAATGGAGGAGAAGGCGAAGAATATGAAAAATGCGTGTAAAAATTTGGTTTCATGGACGCTCTCAGTAACATTTTTTTTTCTTATTCTGGAAAAACGGTTCTAAAGTCAGTTAATCATTTCAATTCAGAATGTTATTTTCACACGACTTATAAACAATAGGCTGATGATACATCTATTTTCCATTTTTTTACTTTATATCTTCTCAGCATGACAATATTATATTTTTATTTTAAAATAACAAATAATTTAAGATAAAATGAATAAACAATAAAAATACCAGCTTTCTATTAAATGATAAACACAGAAATTTCTAAAGTAATATTTGAAATGTGAGAAAATTTATTTATGTTATAATAATAAAAATAATGACGGATTGAACTCTCTTTTAAGTTTTTCTAAAATTTATTCTTTTAATAAATATTCTTTCTGTGCTATAACGGTGTAATTTGATATTTTTATAAAGATTATGAATTGTGGTTAATATGGTATTTATTAAAATTAACTTTATCATCTCAAAAAAGTTTAATAACTTTATCATAATGATATTTAGTGTAATTTAAAAAAAGTCATCTTAATAAATACATTATTTTTATTTATTACAAATAATGTTAATTTATGTTTTAATGCAGGGCTTTTTCATTAGAAGTGTTATTTGAAAGCTTAATTTATCCATATAACAGTTTTTTTTTATAAGTGGACCATTTTCATAATTTTTTATTTACAAAAATATGTCTAAAATATCTCTATCCATCATAAATGATCCATGAAACATGAATTTACGTTAGAAGTTTATTGAAAAGTTAGAATGGAGATTTCACCAGTGGATAACCAAATATCCACTTAGTCAGTGGACATCTTTGGAAAATTCCGTATCGATTTGTAAATCAAATAACTACATCATATAGTTCCTAACAGAACTTAAAACGCAAGATAATAGAGTTCAATTTATACACAAATTATGATGATGATGGTGATGCGCCACAACACCACCTGATGATCTCACTTGTGTTTCGCCTGTATGAAACAATCACTGAACAAATCAAATCAAAATACTTTTACGTTCTATTTTACTTATATTTCTGTTCTGAAGTTACCTTAACTTTTTCGAATAATTGTGACGCAGGAAAGAAAATGCAGTGCTGTGTGCATTATTGGGGACGTTCAGTCCATTCCATTTAGAACAAATATGACTAATTTCCGGACTTCTGACTTTATTTTTTTGATATACAAAAGCCGAACATTTTCTGACATTTTAAAAATTCAAGTAATTAAATTACAAAAATGTACATGATTATTGACTCATGTTTCAAAGGAATGAATAACTTCATATCAATTAATGCTTACCCTAAATTCAAATGATTAGATTATAAACTTTTAAACTAGAAAAATAATCTATATTTGAGTTTTGAAATGATCTATTGTATGGGTGTATTAAAATATGCAGTAGAATAGGAACGCCTCATGCATGGTAACACCGAATGAACAAACGAAGTGATAATAACGACGATCTGAGGTTACAGTTGTCTTCCATGTCAGCTCAGTACCCAAATTTGGGGCGTTAAATCCTTTGAGTCATTGTCTTCAATATGGTAAGTAAAGTGCGATTCCACAAGAAAAGTCCATTTACAAGAAACTTCGAACTATGGTTAAAATAAAGTATTTGACCTCTCTTGCAAAATTGTGTCAAAGACATGTCCTTTTCTATAGGTCCTGATCAAGCGGAAACGAGACAGCATTGGGCATAATCACCGACTCACCGTGGCACGGAGCAGGGACCCTCCCTAAAGATTTCACTTTGTACCGACAATCATACAACACACACTAACCACAAATTATCACCATATTGATGAGTGGCGACAACCTTTTCTCCAAAAAAAAGAAAAGGATATAAATATGCAGTAGCACAAAGAACGGTCAGAAAAAAAAAATCAATTATAAATCAAAAACACAAGGAATACCTAGCTACAAAGTAAGAAGACTGACTAACACTATGAAATTCTGTACAATTAATAATGTGATCTTTTGTCTACATCAAATCTTATATGAAATTCTCTGCTTGCAACAATCCAGGATAGACACACGATATCATCTGTTTCAGAGAGTTGCGAGATGCTTTTAGAAAAGCATGACCCTCCAGTGCTGCACAGGTCATCAAGAAATATTCAGCACATCAGAAGACAAATATTGAAAAAATGACAAGGGCAGTGGAATCAAGCGCAGGTGCTACAGATGAACGAAGAATAATTTTACCACTAAACAGAGATTTTGCTTCCTTTGAGAAATCCTCCACACGCCCCGATACAGGTCTTATGCGACAAATTTGTAGAACACAAAGTTCCAAGTGCAAGGCCATTTCAAGTATTTGCATCAGTAAGTTGCAAACATCCTGTATTTCTGGAGAGACCCTTTGTTTGTTGGCTTGACAGAGTTCCGTAGTAATGGCAATAGCTTGATCCTGCACCCAAAAGAAAGTGAAGCTCAGACAGACATCTAATTATTAGCTTCTATGATTCAGGCACCCCACAAAGAAATAATCTTTGGCATAAAGCAAAGCCTTAAGCTCACCTGTAAATCAAACCATTGACAAAACTTTACATACTTCTAAATTTGTGCATACTATGAAGTTGTAAATATTATATACATGGGTTAAGTTCACGGTACCTGTAATCCATGCAAGATTTCTGGCATTGGCAGCTCAGGAAAATGAGCAAGATCAACAAACCCAACCTCCTCAGCCCTTTTAGCAGCACCCTCAGTTTGTAAACAGAGAAACTTTAAAAGAAGAAATGCTATTCTATATACCTGCAGGGCTACAGTATCAGAAAAGCATGTTTTCGGAATAAGATCAGTACTCTCAGTTGCTTGGCCATGGGTAGAAGTGGTTGAGAAAGAAGAGAACTTTGGTTTTGGCACACATCCAAGTGGGGAAAGAGCAAACCATCCATTTTTGCTATTGACAAAGGAAGGTTTTGAGGAAATTTCAAAATCCTCTTTCAGGGTAGGTGGACATAAAAGTGGGGCGTTCCTGCTTGACAATTCACCAAGGCGTTGAGATCCCCTGCTAATGAAGGCTAAAAGATGGATACACTTCTCTCTAAGCTGTCTATCCACATTTCGTATTGCCTTAATCCACGAATGCCAATGTTTTGCTAGCTCACACATGAGCATTAAAGTATGTTCTGTTTCTTTAAGAGTAGCTAAAGATATAAATGCCCTCTGTGCTCGAGGTCTTTTCTTGTCACGATCATCAGAAGGAAAGTCTGGGGCATTTAGAGAATAAATGATAAAATGAGCTTTCTCTGAAAAAAAGTAAGGTATCATGCTATCCACAATAGCAGTTCCAGAAGAATGGTCTCCCAAGGATTTAACCATAGCTGTAACCACAGCTAATCCAAGCCCCCAAATATCCTGGGGTATTACAAACTTCTCGCACGAGCCCCCAAGATTCTCACTAGTGGTCGATAAATCCTCACCAGATTCAGCAAATAACACTCTCACAGATGACAAAAAGCCGGAACAATAAAGCATATCAGCACCTCCTCTAACTCGTGCAAGGGTCAAAAAGAACTTCATTATTACTGGAATAGAAGTTGAACTTCTATCGTGGAGTTTAAGCATAACTACTGGCAATTGGAGATGATTCTGCAGGACAGGTAACCAAGTCCTGGGTGTCAAGAAGCTTCTCAGTATTAAATCCATGACTGACAGGGATAGCATGCAATGATCAGAAGTCGCAACACAGTTGCAAAGAATGGGTAGTAGACCCAGGGTTGCATTTGAAACCTTTGATAAGACCTCACCAGAATTGTCCTTGGTTACCACACCTGAATGTGCATTAAGGGAGTTGGACTGTAATACTGAAAGCAGCAATGTGAGTAAAAGTTTCATGATCACATTAGCCTCAGAAGGTGCCGGCTTAAGTGAACCCAATAGTCTAAGACCCGAACTAGCACATTTCAAAACAAGTAGGGATACATCTAGCGAGAGGCTTTNAGAACTTAAAACGCAAGATAATAGAGTTCAATTTATACACAAATTATGATGATGATGGTGATGCGCCACAACACCACCTGATGATCTCACTTGTGTTTCGCCTGTATGAAACAATCACTGAACAAATCAAATCAAAATACTTTTACGTTCTATTTTACTTATATTTCTGTTCTGAAGTTACCTTAACTTTTTCGAATAATTGTGACGCAGGAAAGAAAATGCAGTGCTGTGTGCATTATTGGGGACGTTCAGTCCATTCCATTTAGAACAAATATGACTAATTTCCGGACTTCTGACTTTATTTTTTTGATATACAAAAGCCGAACATTTTCTGACATTTTAAAAATTCAAGTAATTAAATTACAAAAATGTACATGATTATTGACTCATGTTTCAAAGGAATGAATAACTTCATATCAATTAATGCTTACCCTAAATTCAAATGATTAGATTATAAACTTTTAAACTAGAAAAATAATCTATATTTGAGTTTTGAAATGATCTATTGTATGGGTGTATTAAAATATGCAGTAGAATAGGAACGCCTCATGCATGGTAACACCGAATGAACAAACGAAGTGATAATAACGACGATCTGAGGTTACAGTTGTCTTCCATGTCAGCTCAGTACCCAAATTTGGGGCGTTAAATCCTTTGAGTCATTGTCTTCAATATGGTAAGTAAAGTGCGATTCCACAAGAAAAGTCCATTTACAAGAAACTTCGAACTATGGTTAAAATAAAGTATTTGACCTCTCTTGCAAAATTGTGTCAAAGACATGTCCTTTTCTATAGGTCCTGATCAAGCGGAAACGAGACAGCATTGGGCATAATCACCGACTCACCGTGGCACGGAGCAGGGACCCTCCCTAAAGATTTCACTTTGTACCGACAATCATACAACACACACTAACCACAAATTATCACCATATTGATGAGTGGCGACAACCTTTTCTCCAAAAAAAAGAAAAGGATATAAATATGCAGTAGCACAAAGAACGGTCAGAAAAAAAAAATCAAAAACACAAGGAATACCTAGCTACAAAGTAAGAAGACTGACTAACACTATGAAATTCTGTACAATTAATAATGTGATCTTTTGTCTACATCAAATCTTATATGAAATTCTCTGCTTGCAACAATCCAGGATAGACACACGATATCATCTGTTTCAGAGAGTTGCGAGATGCTTTTAGAAAAGCATGACCCTCCAGTGCTGCACAGGTCATCAAGAAATATTCAGCACATCAGAAGACAAATATTGAAAAAATGACAAGGGCAGTGGAATCAAGCGCAGGTGCTACAGATGAACGAAGAATAATTTTACCACTAAACAGAGATTTTGCTTCCTTTGAGAAATCCTCCACACGCCCCGATACAGGTCTTATGCGACAAATTTGTAGAACACAAAGTTCCAAGTGCAAGGCCATTTCAAGTATTTGCATCAGTAAGTTGCAAACATCCTGTATTTCTGGAGAGACCCTTTGTTTGTTGGCTTGACAGAGTTCCGTAGTAATGGCAATAGCTTGATCCTGCACCCAAAAGAAAGTGAAGCTCAGACAGACATCTAATTATTAGCTTCTATGATTCAGGCACCCCACAAAGAAATAATCTTTGGCATAAAGCAAAGCCTTAAGCTCACCTGTAAATCAAACCATTGACAAAACTTTACATACTTCTAAATTTGTGCATACTATGAAGTTGTAAATATTATATACATGGGTTAAGTTCACGGTACCTGTAATCCATGCAAGATTTCTGGCATTGGCAGCTCAGGAAAATGAGCAAGATCAACAAACCCAACCTCCTCAGCCCTTTTAGCAGCACCCTCAGTTTGTAAACAGAGAAACTTTAAAAGAAGAAATGCTATTCTATATACCTGCAGGGCTACAGTATCAGAAAAGCATGTTTTCGGAATAAGATCAGTACTCTCAGTTGCTTGGCCATGGGTAGAAGTGGTTGAGAAAGAAGAGAACTTTGGTTTTGGCACACATCCAAGTGGGGAAAGAGCAAACCATCCATTTTTGCTATTGACAAAGGAAGGTTTTGAGGAAATTTCAAAATCCTCTTTCAGGGTAGGTGGACATAAAAGTGGGGCGTTCCTGCTTGACAATTCACCAAGGCGTTGAGATCCCCTGCTAATGAAGGCTAAAAGATGGATACACTTCTCTCTAAGCTGTCTATCCACATTTCGTATTGCCTTAATCCACGAATGCCAATGTTTTGCTAGCTCACACATGAGCATTAAAGTATGTTCTGTTTCTTTAAGAGTAGCTAAAGATATAAATGCCCTCTGTGCTCGAGGTCTTTTCTTGTCACGATCATCAGAAGGAAAGTCTGGGGCATTTAGAGAATAAATGATAAAATGAGCTTTCTCTGAAAAAAAGTAAGGTATCATGCTATCCACAATAGCAGTTCCAGAAGAATGGTCTCCCAAGGATTTAACCATAGCTGTAACCACAGCTAATCCAAGCCCCCAAATATCCTGGGGTATTACAAACTTCTCGCACGAGCCCCCAAGATTCTCACTAGTGGTCGATAAATCCTCACCAGATTCAGCAAATAACACTCTCACAGATGACAAAAAGCCGGAACAATAAAGCATATCAGCACCTCCTCTAACTCGTGCAAGGGTCAAAAAGAACTTCATTATTACTGGAATAGAAGTTGAACTTCTATCGTGGAGTTTAAGCATAACTACTGGCAATTGGAGATGATTCTGCAGGACAGGTAACCAAGTCCTGGGTGTCAAGAAGCTTCTCAGTATTAAATCCATGACTGACAGGGATAGCATGCAATGATCAGAAGTCGCAACACAGTTGCAAAGAATGGGTAGTAGACCCAGGGTTGCATTTGAAACCTTTGATAAGACCTCACCAGAATTGTCCTTGGTTACCACACCTGAATGTGCATTAAGGGAGTTGGACTGTAATACTGAAAGCAGCAATGTGAGTAAAAGTTTCATGATCACATTAGCCTCAGAAGGTGCCGGCTTAAGTGAACCCAATAGTCTAAGACCCGAACTAGCACATTTCAAAACAAGTAGGGATACATCTAGCGAGAGGCTTTGCCTGACAGTTCTTGTCAACTGGAAGATTAGTTCTACTTCACATGCAAGAAAATTGAGAATATCCTCAGAGGCATCTAGAACAGATGATAATATCTCCACGTTAGAAAGGAAAGATTGGCATATATTATCCATGAAAGTAAATATGAGTTCATCTGAGATCCTCCCTCCAGCTGTAGCCCTCCCTTGTGACTGCAAGATCATGTGAAAAAGGAAAATTGAACAGAGACAAGCCAAAAACCAAATGGCAGCATGAAGAAAGTTGCCTATAAATGATAACCATACAAAAAAAAAAAAACGAAGTACATGAAAAATGGAACATCAATGTTTATATAGCCTTTCAGGCTAAAATGTTTCCAATGGTCAGTCAAACTTTCCTTTCCCCCACCCTATGTAACTTAATATTGGGATAAACCCAGGAAAAATTTACATAACCTTTCTCAAAATAATCAACAAAACTCCATCATAAACAAACCTTTTTAATGTACATCTTATCTTGATGCTTGCGGTCAAAACAATGATAATTATAAAGCAAAGAATCTTACTAATGACTTCTGTTCACCATGGTAAAACCAATTCAAGCATAGCATATTTTCCAATCATCCCTCAATACTTTAATTATAATAAATGAAGAAAAATAATTTCTTAAGTATTTTTATTAGTTAAAACAGAAAACATGTCAACCTATGAGAACCATGCATGTACGCCAACTGCAGGGCTCAAACTCAACCATAAGGAATCAATAGCAGAATAGTTGGGCTAACACATGAATGTTTCAACATTTGTAACTTGCAACCATAATCTTATCATTCAGACAGGGATATGCAATGAAAGGAAATCAGAAATTTAAATTCTCACATCATGGTTGACAGCCAAAACAGCTATCAGTCCTTTTAATGCAGAAAGCTTTGAACTTGAAAGCAACATGACTGAGTTTGCATCCTGCAGGAAACGCAACATGACTTCTGCAACCTCCTTGGATATTCTCCAATTGTTACAATCCCACACATCTAATCTCAAATCTTCTCGCAAGTGAGCAAGGTCAAACAAGTATACATTCTTCGTAAACATATTCTTTGTAAAAGCATCTTCATTGAACTGGTGTTGATAGGTTCCCAAAAAATTTGATTCCACAAGATACTGAGATAATTCTTTGAATGGTCCAATACCAATTTTTCTCCCTTCAAGCTCTCCTTGCAAATGATAATAGAGGTCACTGAGTATCAATTTCTTTAGTTCCTTACCTTCACTACAAAATTAAGAAAACAACCGAATTTTGATTGATGTAACATTACGTAAGAAAATAAACATTTGTTTGGGTAAGACAAAGTAAATCCAATACATGAACTGTATGGTGGGGAGGAAAAGCATGAATTAGACTCAAAAATGTTGTTACCTTAATTCTCAGTCTCCCAATTATTTGTGATACAATACAATGATAACGTAAGGTGTCTATTAGTGTTAGATTTCTGTTACCATTTATTTGTTTGGTGGGGAATTAGTTCGTTGGGCTGAGATTATTAGAAAAGTTAGAACACATTGCCTATAAATAAAACGTGGGGCTGAGAGGGAGAGAATTGGGGCTTATAGGCATTGGGAAAATCCCATAGCCTTTCTAATAAAATACTAGGTTTCTATCATAGAGAAATCAGAGTGTTCTAAATGTTAGTTGATTTTCCATGAAAAGGTCATGCATGGCTATATGGAAAGCAAAATGAATTATTTGTTATGGTTCCATCTTGGACACAAATAACATCTAATTGAAATAAAAGCTGAATAAGTTATGACATGTGAAGTAAAAAATAACACATGGATAAGTCTATATAACCTGTAACCACGTTGTGAATACTGAGACAGCAATTCAGAAAAAGCAGGATGAATGCTCAACTGCAAACATAAGAACGTTTCTATACATAAGAAAATGTTGACAAAATCGTAAACTAAAAACAAAGAGTTCAAGGCGTAAATAGAAATTTAGACATTAAACTTTTTACTTTTTAATGTGTAACATATTCGTAATGATTTGCATGACATTAAAGATAAAGATATGAATTTGAATACCGTTTACCACATTACAAAGTATACTAGAAGAAATGACTTTCTTACAAAAATAAAAAAGGATTAGACATCGAACCTTAGCCAGAATTTCATGAATCTTCTGAAGCAATAACACAGATAAACTTCCAGAGTCGCAAACTGCTAATTTCATCATCACATGAACAGAGAATAAACTGGTGGCCACCTGAAAAATTACATGCGGAAGTAAATAAAAAAAGGGAAAGAGAAGTTCATAATATATCTATAATTGCATCGTATACATTTAAAAGAATACTTAATAAGTTTTATTTTTTTATTTACGTTATGCAAAAAACCATATTAGACACCGAAGTAAAATCAGAAAAGAGTGAAAATCTATTGAATGTTATACATCAGCATGACACATGCAAGTAATTGAAAAATATATTACACCCATTAATTCAACAAGGAAAAAAACATCAAGCTAACCTTTGCACCATTATATATATCACTATTATTTCCATAAGAAGTGTATGACTTTATTAGTTTCTCTAAAATGGAATCATTGAACAATGAAGACCAGATTCCCTTAAGATCATGAAGATTCGTCGCTTTAGATTTCTCAGTTCTTGTGACATTTTGCTCCTTCTCCTTAGATTCTGCTGCATCCTTCACAGTTGACTCTGCATGAAACAACTTTCTCTGCAAGAATAGTTCATATGCCATGATTCCTAGTATCGAAGACTGGCAATGGAAAGTGTATGCCAGATTGAAAGCATCTTTTTCTTTCAGGCTTGTGGGCAAGGAAATTTCACTGCTAGCAATATTTGAGATTGCATTAGCTAAGTGTTCCCAGAACTTTCCATGCCTTCTTAAGGACTCCAAGAGATTGGCATACTGGGGAGCCCCTTGCCATAAGGCAATCATGAAGTTAAGTACACAAAGCAGTATGCGGGGATTGCTGGAGACAGAAAAATACAGTAAGTAACGTACTCATATTTCAATGAGCATTACAATTGACCAGCAAAAGCACAAGCAATAAGGACGGAAACTAAGCAAAAACAGATAAACAGCCACCCCTTCCCCACAAAAAAATACACATTAAACAGTTTGAACCTCTTGATCAGATCATCCGCCCTTTCAATATAGTGCACAAGTGCATCAATAAGACTTGGTTTTCTAAAAACTGCATGTATAGGAGAGGTTTCCTCCTTTTGCAGCTTTGCATCACCAATGCTCAAGTGGTCTTTCGTGTTCTCCTCTGGAGCAAAGATAGCAACAATGAAAGAAGGCTGCAAAAGGAAAATTCATATAAGACAAAGGCGATTGAACACAACTTAATATAGTGAAAAATTTACCTTGAGACCCCTTCCCTCATAAAATAAAATAAAAAACAGTTCTGAAATAATAATTTAAATTAGCATTAACATTACTCAAGGCTTTTCAAGATCTGAAAACACCACATTTGGGGTCAACATTTTTCTTTCATGAAAGCATTTTGAAAATTTGGCAGAGTTTTGAGTACGAAAGTGACTGGCAGATAAACAAACAAAAATAAAATGAAATTATAATATTAGTAATAAAAAATTAATAAACTTTTAATATGAGAACTCAAATAGTGTATGCATTTCTCCATTAAAATATAGAAGCAAAACTAGTGAATCCATTTAGAAATTTTTTTAAAAAATCTTACCGTTGAGATTATGATAAATTGTAATGAATTCTATGCTATAAGCTGACGTGTTAGAATATTTGATTGGTTTTATTATAATTATTTATTTTTGTTAGTTGCACATATTTAGGGTAGCTAGACAATATCTTGTAGATCTTCTTTCCCTAATTTTGGGAATCCTCCTGTACAATATTTTTTATATATTATAGAACAGGGAGACTCTCAGGGAACCAAGTTTCACACTCAAATCACACGCTTCTCTATCTGTTTTAAGTCTGATTCAAGATTGCCATAAATAAAAAAACAANCCCTATGTAACTTAATATTGGGATAAACCCAGGAAAAATTTACATAACCTTTCTCAAAATAATCAACAAAACTCCATCATAAACAAACCTTTTTAATGTACATCTTATCTTGATGCTTGCGGTCAAAACAATGATAATTATAAAGCAAAGAATCTTACTAATGACTTCTGTTCACCATGGTAAAACCAATTCAAGCATAGCATATTTTCCAATCATCCCTCAATACTTTAATTATAATAATTGAAGAAAAATTATTTCTTAAGTATTTTTTTTAGTTAAAACAGAAAACATGTCAACCTATGAGAACCATGCATGTACGCCAACTGCAGGGCTCAAACTCAACCATAAGGAATCAATAGCAGAATAGTTGGGCTAACACATGAATGTTTCAACATTTTTAACTTGCAACCTTAATCTTATCATTCAGACAGGGATTTGCAATGAAAGGAAATCAGAAATTTAAATTCTCACATCATGGTTGACAGCCAAAACAGCTATCAGTCCTTTTAATGCAGAAAGCTTTGAACTTGAAAGCAACATGACTGAGTTTGCATCCTGCAGGAAACGCAACATGACTTCTGCAACCTCCTTGGATATTCTCCAATTGTTACAATCCCACACATCTAATCTCAAATCTTCTCGCAAGTGAGCAAGGTCAAACAAGTATACATTCTTCGTAAACATATTCTTTGTAAAAGCATCTTCATTGAACTGGTGTTGATAGGTTCCCAAAAAATTTGATTCCACAAGATACTGAGATAATTCTTTGAATGGTCCAATACCAATTTTTCTCCCTTCTAGCTCTCCTTGCAAATGATAATAGAGGTCACTGAGTATCAATTTCTTTAGTTCCTTACCTTCACTACAAAATTAAGAAAACAACCGAATTTTGATTGATGTAACATTACGTAAGAAAATAAACATTTGTTTGGGTAAGACAAAGTAAATCCAATACATGAACTGTATGGTGGGGAGGAAAAGCATGAATTAGACTCAAAAATGTTGTTACCTTAATTCTCAGTCTCCCAATTATTTGTGATACAATACAATGATAACGTAAGGTGTCTATTAGTGTTAGATTTCTGTTACCATTTATTTGTTTGGTGGGGAATTAGTTCGTTGGGCTGAGATTATTAGAAAAGTTAGAACACATTGCCTATAAATAAAACGTGGGGCTGAGAGGGAGAGAATTGGGGCTTATAGGCATTGGGAAAATCCCATAGCCTTTCTAATAA